CAGGGAGCTACTGCAGCATCTCAGTTATATGGTCAAGCACCCACATTTTGTTTTCATGATCACAAAGGCATTATAGCAACAATAATTTTGGGTAAAGAACTATCTGTAAAACTTTGATTTTAGAAAGCTAAAATTAGTTTATAATTTTTCTTTCTCTTTTTTGTACTTTTTTTTCTTTTAGTTTTAATTTTTATGGTTGTAAATTGTAATCTTTAATAGAAATACTATGAAAAAGGAAATCATGAAAATAAATCCTAGGCAGCATTTTATTATACAAAATTGTACCATATACATTTTAAAGTTTCCATGTCATGTTGTGTACAGTTGCAAATGGTGGTATTCAAATATTTGGGGATATTAGCAATGCTTTGAAACATATCGAAAGTATTTTGAACTTGAATTAACTACACTATCTTTCAAGCACAAAACACTTCTAAAATGCTCGAAACAGCTGTTTCATATTTGGGCTTGGGCATTTTATACACAAAATGGGGAAATCCAATTGTCAAAACAGCTTGTTTCAAAGAGCTTTACACACTAGTACCAGTAGTGATAAATAATGGGCAGAGATTGACTTCTTGGAAATGCCCAATTAGCCAGGTTTTTGGTTGAAAGATTCTGAAGGAACTGAAACAAATCATCAATCTCTTACAGTATATTGACTCTTATTGTTATAACTGTATAAATGTATACATTTATGCAATGTAAGATTCAATTCAATTCCTTATATTAGCTGCCAGGTTTGCAATACTAGAAAACTAAAATATCCTTCAGTAGTATTTAAAAATCTAAAACACTGCTTTAGATGAACAATTAATGCAACACAGAGCTGTAAAAATTTATAATAAACACTAAATGTATTCAAATTTAATTGTCATTTATTAAATATATTAGCAAAAGTTTTCCTAATATATTACATTTATTAATGTAATCTGAAAATAAATATTGAATGTAGATGTTTAGTATTTTTATTTCAACTGCCCATAGTCGCTGGGAATCAGGCAGCATATGAATTTAATCAATCGATCAATCAATCAATCAGTTTTGCCTTATGTTTGCTTATGCAGGCACACAATGTTTATTTTCTTGTTTTGTTTCTATCAATGATTAATTTTTTTGTAGGAGAAGGAGTGGCAGAACCTGGGAACGGGATTAAAAGAAGTATAAGCCTAGAATCCCTACATATTCATAAGAAGTCTTAGTCCAAATTCCCTTGAATTAAGCTGTTCCTTATCTAACTCCGAGCAGATGTTAAATGTTAGTTGAGAAGATTCCCATGAATAAGCTTTTTACCAATAAAACAGTTTAATTGAACCTTCATGTGTGGACCACACGGTCTTTCATGTCTGACATTTTTATCTCTTAGTATTTGTCTTTTTCTACTGGAAAAAAAAAACTTTCAAAGAAGAAAGCATTACATGCAGTCCCTAATCAGTACCCACTCAGCTTAGAAAAGACTTAGGATACACGTAGGCTAGAAAACAAGAACTTGAAAGCGACATAGCCAGTAACTGCCCACCTGAAGTGAAAACACAGTGCAAGAACATCCATTCAAGCCAACTGGTGAATTCCATTAGATGCTCTTCAAGTCTTACTAGAAATAAACACTATTTTCCAAGCAAATTTAATCATTCCTACAAAGCGATTTCTATTTCAAGTTATTATAAAGGACAAATCAAACTTTTGCATCTACATCTAGATTGTAGAAGCCCAGTGATTAGAGATTCCTCTCTACAAATCATCTTTTATTTTGCTCAGTTCATTCATTTTCCAGTTAAAGATTAATTATGCTCCATTTTCAAGACACTCAAATATAAATGTATTTAAATTAAAAGCATACTTTCTTTGGAACAGATGACATTTCTTTTTTCATCGTTCGTAGCAAAAAATCAGGCATATTATTTTCAATATCTGCACGTGTTCCCTTTTTCTTTAGCACTGCAGCCAGAAATGAAATAACCTGGGAAAAGCACAGTGGAAATGTTCAAAGAAAACAGAAAGAGGCAATGTAACTATTTTGAAATCCACAGATATCAAGAATACAAACTAGTGGGATTTTAATAATGGGCATAATGGTAAAAGGATATAATTGCATCAATCAAATCCAAGATCCGGAACAAATAGCAAAACAATGTTAAGATTGGTCTTCAAAAAAATGAAGATAACCAATATTCATACAGAAGCCAATTGAAGAGAGTTCATTTGCAGGACTGATGTTTACGTACTATGTTAATTTTACTACACAAGTATGCTGGTTTTCATCTCTTGTACCATTTAAAAGGACTATTATTCATAATTGAGTTCATAACATGAAATAGCCTTAAACCAGCCTTTTAACTTTCAATCAGGTGAGCACATTTAAAAATGTGTACGTTCAAATAGAAACTCGCCCTGCAAATATATGTGTATTTTCTTTCAACTTACAACCAAGTTCAAATTATTTTGAATAAAAGTTATTTGTCACAGAAATTTTGTTTTTGCATTATAAATACAGCTTCCTACAAAATCAGGCAATGAAGCTATTTATAGAAAGTTCAAAGCAAACTGAGAGTGATAAATTATACAATAAAATTGTAAATTAAAATCAATATGCAATAAATTTCTCATAGAATAGAGTACTATTTCTCTCTTAGACATGAGTTACCATTCTGAGAGGCAATATATTTTTCCATTGTGACAACAGTTACAGCTTTTCCCCACATACTGATTTGATGCAATACATACTGAAGACAGATATCCAGAAAAGAATGCAATTATATTTCCAACAGGTAGTATAAAAAGGCATGCAGAAACCATCCTTGATTTTAAAAAAAGACATGGAATTTATATTATATTATATACATTTCCTAGCTTGTGATTAGAAAATTCCACTCTCATCAACTGTTCGCTTTCTGGGTTTATTTGGCATCTTAAATAGGATGGAAAAATCAGTATAGTGCAAAAAATAAAAAAAATACTTCCAACTTTCTCATCATTATCAAACTTTAATCAATTCCATATGGCTTTTAAAAGCCAAAATAGTCAAAGATTCAAAATCCCTAATACTGATCAGTGTGAAAAAAGTAAAGTTTTGATTTATAAAAAAACTAAGGCATCAACATTTCATCAAAGCTGCCGCTTAAAAACAATACAAGCATCAATAATCAACTAATGTAAGTACTTTTTTTTTCCTCTGCAAAATGTTCCTGTTAAGTCCCTGAGAAAATTTTAAAACAAGATTACAATTACTTGATTTAAACAGTATGGTATTTTTTGAAAAAGAAAAAAACCTAAAAATTATTTTAAAGGCTGCTCCCAAAGCCTATGCCAACTTGTCACTGCTGTGTTTAATTCATCCCCCATCAAAAATAATGCAAGAAACAATATACTACATGAGATAGCAAAAAAACTCAAAGAAAAACAAAACTCTACTCACGCTCAACTGCTTCATTTCATATACCTTCACCTACTTAGAATTGCACTGTGAAGACCTACACAATGTAGTTTTCTAAATAGATAATTTGGATGTTTTATTCTACTTTACAAATATTGTCGGGGCTTTTAGAGGAAAAAGAGGAGGCAGAAATACCTGGATTGTTTTCCCAAGGCCCATGTCATCTCCAAGAATGCACCCACTTTTACGAACATAATGTCCATGGAAAAACTGGGCCCCTTCTCTTTGATAATCACGTAGGTATCTATTAATGGTATAAGGGATCTCTTCCCCATTGTTGGACAGCTCAAAGGCAACTGTTGGTGACGGCAGGCTTCGGTCTGGGAAATAAGGCTTTTCCAAATCTTCATCATCCAATATTAAATTATTCTTTGTACTTTTATTTGTTTTGATCTGCGAGAGTTTGGTTGCAAGTATTTTCTCTTCCTCATTTTTCCCAAGGGAAACTGTGGCAAAACACTTCCCATTGCTATTTGTTTCATAAGACATTACTGTAGCATCTCAAAACTTCTCAAGTTCAGGAAAAGGTGCAAGACATCTATCTCCAACATGCCACTGGTCTGTTAAAAAAACATGCAAAGAAAATAACAAAAAGCAGTGCACTGCAACAAAACTTAGAAAGAAATCCTTGCTGAAAATAACACTGGAATCTAAATGGGTATAAAAAAGTACTGAGCTTTTCTCCTTAACCGTACTGAGGCTCAAGCAAGATATACATTCGAATAAATAAACCACTAAATTAGCCAAATTGTCAATTTGGCAAGTGCATATTTATCATTTTGTGTTTATTGCATAATCTTCAACTTATTTTAAAGAATAGTCTAAGGCTAACTCTCAAAGGATAAATGCCACAGAATAAAATTAAAGACAAGATTGCATGTCATATAATAACAACTCTTATACGTGGAAATTCCCATGAATATGTTTTTGAATAAATACATTAAGAACTGTACCAGATCACCAATCAAAGACTTACCACTATTTTTTCTCTATACAATATGGATGCTGAAGCTTATAGCTCCTAGCAATTGGTGTGAAAAGGCTGCTGCATCTGATATTAGAGGTAAGCATTACCACCTTATAATCCTTGAATATATTTAACCTCTTTAAAACTGCCCACAATGATTTACATCTGTAATAAAACTCCATCCATAATAGTATACAGTTCCATCACATTCCTCTTAATCTTTTTCCAATCTTTTTCCAGGTTAGAAAGACCATATCAGCAAAAACACGGTTGCCGGATTTTTTTTCCCAGCACTTTATGAAGAGCTTCTCTCTTAATCACATCACTGGCAAAGAAGATGGATGAGGAATTAGAATGGGAAGTCGCTATCCAACTCACTCTTCTATAAGGATGTATTGGGGACTTTTTTCTGGATTTTTTTTCTCCAATCCTCAGCCCCAACTGCTCTATTTCTAAATTTGAATTCCAATTCCTTTTCTGTTCAGTTTTTAAAGAATTATCTTGTTAAAGAACAGAAAGTCAATGGGAGAATCCTAACTTTCTCTTGTTTAAGAAATAAAGAAATCAATTAACAACTGCCTTGTTTAGTGACTGTTCAAACTTATGACAGCACTGAAAAAGTAGCTTTACCATCAGTCCTTGAACATATGGCTATCTCATGTGATCACCATTTGGGCACTTCACAATCAGCACACATTTATAACTGTCCCAGTGTCCCATGGTCAGGCTTCTGATAAGAAAAGTCAATGGAGAGGCTGGTAGGAAAACTTGCAAAGGGCCAATCATGTTTGACACCCCTACAATAGAGGCAATTTTACTTTTGATCTCTTATGTCCTTACATAAGATTGAAACATTGATTCCAGCATTATTCTCTCCTTTCAAGGTAATTTATAAACATAACTCACCTGTAGAAGTCATACGTTCCTAATTACATGTAGGAATATATTTCCAAATGCCTATAAAATAGGGGAGGAAACTTAAAGGAACAATCAGTAAATGCCATCAATAATCAAAGAAGAACCCATACCAAAATTTAAAAAATCCAAAACACGTAGGCAAAGGCATAGCAAATACAATGCATATCAATCAATAATACTTCAATTTGAGAAAGAAAAGTAACTGCAGACTTTTTGCTATTAAAATCCAGAAAATCCCATATCAAAGAGGGTTCTTTACACAGAAGATTGTCCTGAAGATTGTTTATAAACATGACTGCAAAATCTGCCAAATTAGAGCCAACTAATGTTTTGTGCTGTTGACAAAATCATTTTACTATTACTTGTCAATACCCTGCTTCATCTCATTACTACCAAGACTTCTAGACAATTATAAATACTTCACTGATTAATAAATTGAAGATGCCCTCAAACCAAATTCAATTCTTAGCAACACAGCCTTCTGTTTACTTGCTAGCAATGTATAAGTACTTAAGGCATTGCTGCCTTCTTGATTTTTTTCTTTCCAATCTTGCCCACAGCCCTGTAATTTCCTAGTGGTCTCCCATCCAATACTAACCAAGTCAATCTGTATTTAATTTGCCACTGTGAGACAACAGCTAGTAAACTACATGCCATCTATTCAACAATAGCTAATAGACTATGTGGGGAAAGAATGTGAGATGAAAATAAAACTAAACCCCAGCAACTCATGCAACGTTATCATAATTTGGTCATAACAGTCATACTGTTTCATCTATAGACACAATCCTAAAACATAATTCCTATTCTCGCACATCATTTACACATACAGCTCACCATGTTTTTAAACTAATGCAATTTTGGGGTTTCCAAATACCTAAACAATAAACTTCAGCATATGAGTAGCTTGCACAACACATGAAGGTAAAATTGGCTTGTTTCAGGTTTAATGAGTTGTGCAAACTTTTCTAAAGAATCACAGAAAGCTTTCCTGTTTGGCTTCTTCTTGCTGTCTTAGAGTACTGTATATAAAACAACACCTCATTATGTCTGTCTTATTAGATTAGTGCTTAAGATGTGTGGACTTCAACTCCCAGAATTCCTCAACCAGCATGTTGACAGAAGGATTCTGGGAGTTGAAGTCCACACATCTTAAAGCCACTAAGGTTAAGAAACAATGCATTAGACAAAGGAAGGCAATTTTAAAAAGCAGTGGGAGCTGATTTGAGCTACCATCTCCCACCTGCAATCATCCAAATATCACAACATTTTGACAAAGTGACACAAAAAAATCTTAACTTCACACAGCTACCTACTGGTTCTCTAGACTTTAGCAGTCAGATATGATAACCCTTGCATGTTCATATATAACCTTTTTAGGATATCTCAAGCATAAATTTTGGGAGATTAGGAGTCAAGTTGCCTTTCTTTCTGAAAAAAAAAATCAATCTGAATAAATGTGTTGTATATAAGCTGCGCACTTAGGCGAGGTAGAAACTGCTCTCCAATCTTTTAACTTACTTCATTGAAGGTCCACACACAAATATACTTATGCATATAGACTTGTGAGACCTTTGCTTAAAATGTCAGAAGCAAAACAAGACATTTAAGATACATGTAATAAACTCATGCTGCCAGGATCTCCGCCTTAAAAGATCAATATTCTGAAATAACCTTCCCCTGGTGGAAGTTTCTGCTCTAAAACATCTCTTTAAAGTTTGAGAAAAAGCCATTCGCAACCTCCCTGACCGCCGCTCGCTTTATCGCCCCAAACCATCCTTGCCCACCGCTCTCCTACCACCATCTCGTCGCAGCCGATGAAATCCCGCGAGAATACCTTTCCGTTCGGCATCGGGTCTTTAAGAAAGGCTATTGGTGGCTGAGCTATTCTACTTTCGCAAGGAAATCACCATAGATGTAGAATCGTAAAGAGTCACGACTCAGAAGCGGCATCCTACATAGAAGCCTTTTTTTTTAACCTTTTCCTGGGGATTGACCGCGCGTGGCTGTGCAAACGTACTCAGAGTATCGAGATGAGGCAGAGTAAGGCTTGAGCTCAGTGAAGTTGTTTGTGAATTACATGTTGTCCTCACTTAATCACTGTCTGACTTAGTAACCATTCAAAGTTATGAAAAAAGAAACTTTACAATTGCTTCTCATACTTATGATCGCCAGAGCGTCCTTGCAGTCACATGATCAAGATTCCAGTGCTTTGCAACCAGCAGGCGTTTACAACCATTGCAGCGTCATGCAATTGCCACTTGTGTGCACTTCACAGCTAGTTTCCAACAGTCAATGAGAAGCGACCAGTAACATAAGTTGTGGGCACATGTTGCTTCACTTAATCATCTTGCTTAGCAATGGAGTTGTTGATTCCAGCTGTGGTCATTAAACAAGGAATACCTGTATATTGGAGTGTATTGCTTTTGTGAGAGATCAGACCTTTTATCATTGTTTTTTTGCTTTTTACTATTTTTATTATTTGTGAGCCATCATGGCTTAGGGTCATGGTGCATAAGATGGGTGGTTATATAACTATAATAAATGAATAAATGAAGCTAAGAGTATCCAACAATAATGCCTTTAAACAGTCCCCAAAAAAACCTGTAAAGAGAGGACCACTTTCATATAAACAGAGTAGATTAAAGCTCAGCCTTTACTGGAGTAATTACAAATTACAATATACTAATATGCTTTTCTTCATAGTCAAGACCCAAAGGAATCTACAAGATGGCCATGAAGAAGAGGTCTAATCCATATATAGATATAAATATATGCAGATATATAGCTACATACATACACACATATACCCATGCTCATGTCTGTATGTGAAAAACAGCTGAAATAGAGCTGAAAAAACAAGCAACTTGGTTACAGACTCCATTGCTAAGACTGAAAACCAAAATACATGTCACAATGTCTGACGTTGACCATGTTCAGTAGAAAAATATCTACTGCTCCAGCCCAGCCAATGGGGGAAAGGGCTGTTATACTACCCTACTTATAAAGCCTTTACGGTGCCCTCCTGCTAGAAGGGCTCATGGGATATTAGGCATTTTCTAGTGGGGGGAAGTAGTTGGGATTGTCTACTACGCTCAAATTGCCATTTACTGTGGTTGAGTGCTGCAAAACTACTGCAGGGTTCTGCTGCTTGACTAAGTTAGTGGCTGATTGGATTAAGTGTACAGAGCAAATACGAACCTATATGTTTCCATAACAACTAGGTAACCAGACATTTAAGGTCAAATGATGGTCATTCTGAAGTCAGAGCACCTATATTCCAATAATTTGTTTCAAGATACATTAGAGTTTGGTGCTTGGGTAGTCTTAAAAATTTTTTTGATTCCACTGATTCATTTTGGTATGTTATCTGTTTAATGGTTGATTTTAAGAAATCTTATCTTTAAGGTTGTTTTATTTTATTCTGGGTTTTTTGCAGCATAATTTCAGACACAGAATGGGATGTTATATTAGGCATAATATTTTTAAAAATACCTTTAATCAAATCAGAAATAAAGTTCAGTGACTCAAATCATTGGAAAATAAAATCTTACCACATAAAGATAGATGTCCACAGGTTTGAATGTCCATTTATGATAGTAAATTAGAAATAAATTTAAAAGACAAACTTATAGGTACAATGTATAACTTTTATATATTCATTGATAATTAATACTTGTTTTAATCTAATGTGATGCAACAAAAGAACTTTTGCACCAGGACAAAAATTAAGCATCAATTCTAAGTACAATGTTCTGAGAACAAGCTTTATTTAATACAGTCAAACATTCTCTGAGTAAATGTATGTAGGTGATTATTTTCTAAAGTTTTTCCAAAAGGACACGCTGTACAATATGAATACATTTAAATAGACTATACCTACATTCTTATATTACAACATACTTAATGAAACTTTGTTGTAGCCTGCCCAAAGTTTTCTAGAACTGCAGTATGTTATACATGTTGTTGAATACAATTAATTAATTAATTAAAGACACATGTCAATTATTGATACAACATGCTGCAATTACTCCACTCCTGAATTCTTATTGTGTAATAACTTCAGGGTGTTTTATATTATTATATAGAAGTTTTATAAAGCATTTCTTCCCTTAGGCTGATGGTGCCCTTTTACTGTATTGTGCATGAAAGCATTGTATAAATTTGCAATTCGAAAAGGCTTGTGTGGGAATAAATCCCATTGAATTCTGTGGGACTTATTTATGAACACCTAGGATTGGTCTGCATATGTTCCAGCAATTTTCCACTTTCATCCCCTCCTATCTAAAGCCAAGAAATAGCTCAAAGCTATTGTTTTATGACAGTGTTTTTAGAGCCTCTAGGCAAAAAGACTTGCAGCTTGTAGATGTCTTTGTCATAAACCACAGCTTTTAAAATTTCTGGGTGTTGGCTTTGCAGTTTAAAAATAATGTGTGGGATTTTGAAAGTATATCATTTTCCTGGGTATTCAGACCACACAATCTTTTTGCAAAATACTATTCTTTGGAGTGGCATTTAGCCAGTATTCAAATTCTGCTAAGCCAGTGAGCTTCAGTATTCTGAGCTTGTAAAGAAAACTTGTAATGTATGAAATTAAATAGGAGTGCTCCATTTTGGCCTGTGGAGCAACAATGTGCCAACAAGGGCCTCCCTAGAATATTTTGGATAATTGCTATTGCAGCTTTGCAGTGGGTGGTAAAAAAAAAAAAAAAAAAAAACAAGCTGGAACAGCTTCCAAATTATCTTTAACTACTCATTTTCCTGTCAGAAAGGGTAAAACTGCATGCCAGCTCTGCAGCTATCATACTTGTCCATCTGATTAAAAGTAATAGAAAAAAACCACATGAAGTGCATGCTGAGGAGAAAAGGCCTTTGGATTTGAACCTAGAACACATTAGGAATTATGAATTCTTTTCTACCAGTTTTCTCCCCTTTCTTGTAATATAAGTGGTGAAATCAGGATCTATCACAATTTACAGAACTTGCATCAATTCATCTCCAAATTATTACTGGTAGTTTTTGAACACAGGATTCAGCAGGCCAAAATTTTACCATCTGGATAAGATTGTCAACAAGATTATTTATTTAGTTGATTGACTGTCTGATAACATATCTTTTGCTTTAGATTGACATGCAGTACATGGTTAATAACAAAATAAAAACCAACATGTTAAAAACATATTTTAAAAATCTAATACTATAAAATACCTAGTGAAAAGTCTTTGCCATTTTTTTCCCTAAATGGCACAAAAACAGAGGCAATTCTACCCCACAATGAGATGTGGTTAATGGATTCCAAAACCCATCAACAAACCCATCTTTCAAAAACTAATTTAGCATGATATGTGAATCCAGTCCATGATGGTTTATTAACAACAAAATAATAGTGGAATTTGCATATTTGGATAATTTTGCCCAGTGATTTTTTCCCTTCAAGCTTGAGATAACTGGTTATAAGAACTGTCACAGGAAGCAAAGTAATACAAGACAGCTCCTCCCAGATTATATTCCAATGGGAAGTATATATTTAGTGCCAGGAATGGCAAGGATTGATAGTTTATGAAGATATTGCAATATTAAGGGAACTTCTTTACAACCCAAGTTATTTAATAAACATTGATTCAATTCCTAATTTGAATGTGCTGTTCTCAACTTTCTCAAGTTCCACCTCAGATAAAACAGAAAAGAAAGCAGTTCCAAACTGGAAAAGAGTTGGGTGATACATCTTTTGAAGATATCCCTGGCTTGACTGTAATAGTATTACTGGTATGCTTTAATTTTGAAGAAAAATAGTACATGAGGCTCCACAACAGTGAGGTATGGGACATGATATAGCTTCTCTCTTCCCAGGTCCTTCTTCTTCAATTGAGGTTCTTGTAACATATTTGGGACAATGAGTTCACCCAAAGAAACAAAACAGCTGAAGAAAAATGCAAAATCACAAAACATAGCTTAGTGTGTATGGTCCTGTGCAATACAGCACACTGGGCAACAAACCTTTTTACAAAGATTTTGATCAGCTGCAATTGTGTGACTTCATTTCTCCAAGTATTTTCCAAGTTCTTGTTTTTCACCTCATCCTGAAGAATATGCCTCTTCCTTCCAGTGATATCCATATGATAGTGTTTCGGTGGACGCCTGAGTGGGATCTGGCAGCTGTAAACTATATTAAACAAAATGTATCCTGAGCACCTCACGGTGTCTGATAACTAGTGTTTCGTAGAATCTTATCAGAAATATGGTCATCAAAAATGACCCCAAAGTTTCTTCATAGACAATACTGACGGAACACATTAAGCTTGTGTGCTGTGTGTTGCTTTTCCAAATTTTGCTTGCATAGATTGTTGTCAGTGGAATGATGGTATTGTAAAGTCAAATCCTTGTTGCAGTATCAACTATAGATATGGAAAAAGCATCACTGGAATATTGTTGATGCTTTTCCAATTCTGTGATTGGCATTTATCATGATGCCTCCAACAATTGCTAATATGCTGCTGAAATATATGGACTCTAGCACAACAAAATAGCATTTTTGTAAGTACCAGGTGCTAGAGAACAACCATGAAAATGGCCAGATTTTTTTTCGCCATATTTCTTAGTTTCTTGAAGATTTTAGGCTGGCCAAACTAGATGGGCCATAGACCAATTCATTGTCTAATGTTAGACAGTGGACAATGAAAAGAAAGAAAGAAAGCTTATAAACTGGATACTTTTTAGTAGAAGCAAAATGAACATTCAGAGATCCACATGTTTGTTAGAAATCCAACAAACCTGGAAGGAGAGATAACACAA